AAAAAATATATTTAAAGATTTAAGATAATCTTTATTTTGTATTATTTTATGAACAAACTTTTGTAAAATAAATATTACATTATTACTATTACACATTTTTAGTAATAATATATATATATTTTTTTTTTTGGTTTTATGAAAAAAATGGGGTAAACTAAATATTGTTGTACCTTTTATAGTCAATGAATTATTTGGTTTTAGAAATATTAAGCTTGCTTTACCTACGAGGTACATGACATTAAAAGAATAATACTGCATTAAGAACCCTATCTTAAAAACTTATTCTCACAACCCTGACGCAGAAACTCGCAATTGATTAGTTCACAATGAGTCCGCACTGGGTCTGCATGATCCCATTAATTAATTACGACTGACTAATTGCGAGTATCACGTCAAGAATGTAAGAAATAGTGTGGCAATGGGCCGGGCCGAGACCGGTACCTTGGCCAGGCCCAAGCTCGACCTCATGACACAAGCCCAAGCCCGTTAGGGTATGATAGGCAAAGCCAAGCCCAACCCGAGGGGTTTTTATAAACGCAGACCGGGCCCAAGCCGCCTTTTTTAATAATGTTTATTTTTAAATATTAATAAATTTCAAATTTTTTTTTAATTTAAAATAGTTTTTAAATATTAATTGAAACTATTTCGCAATTAATTTAAGTAATAGTGAGCAATTAAAACCCATAATATTTATTTATACAACTTTTCAGTGTGCATAATATGTTACGGTGAAATCCACTTTTATAAGTTGAACCAAACCCCTCTAACCATTTAAAGGTAATTTAACATGTTAAACCTTAATTGGGATGAAAATTGAGCTTAGGGTTTGGGGAAAATGATATATATATATATATATATATATATATAATATAAATTATATATATATATATATATATAATAATAATATATATATATATATATATTGAATTAAATATAAGTATAGGGTAAATTAGTAAATTAAACTAAAATTTTGGGGTCGGACTGGGCCAGGCCTAAAGATATACCCCTGCCCGGCCCGTACCCAAGGTCGGGCCTTAAAATCAAGTCCAGGCCCACGCCAAGCCCGCCAACCTTGGGTAAAGCCCGCTCCTTTCAAGCCGGGCTGGGCTGGGTACTCGAAAATATCGGGTCTATTATCATCTCTAATGAGAAATGGTTATTGTGTAATATTACTCATGTATAAACATTTCAAAATCAATATGTTGTTACCATTTTTCAATAAATATTAATTAAATATTTTTATATGATAAAATGTCAAATCCAACCTGAACTAATTAACTCTTTTCTCAAACCAAGGGGATTTAGTCTTTCATTGTTCTAACTCTTTTTCTTAAACCAATGGATTTATCTTTTCATAAATCCTTAAACTATATTTTACTTTAAAATGGGTATTTTTGTTTTTATTGGTCAACAGTTTATTAACAGTAGAATTGACAACAAGAGAGATGTTTGTGTAATATGCGATACTTTTGGACCAAATGTTAATTCTAATCCTTCAGGGGAACATGTGATTGAAAATGGAAATGCACTAGATCATTCCGTCCCTATAAATTTTGGCTATGTTTGGTTTGTGGTTAGAAATTAATAAAATGAAAGTATATGAGTGAATTGATTTTTTCTTTTTTTAGACCAAAGGTGTCAGGCTAGCTTTCAGCACCTCAAATAATCCTGAAACTATCGGGAGTAGAGTTCCAATGACCATCTTTATTGGGTCGTGAGGACTCGAACTCAAGAGACCTGTTAGATCCTTGTTCTGCTCTTTTACCATCAAATGACTTAAACTTGAAAAACCATGTTAGATCCTCTTTGCTTTTTTACCATTTGCCCACCTAATGATAGTTAAAATGAATGAATTGAATATTATTTCTTGTTTGATCATAATTAGAAATGTTGATGTAATGGAAACAATTTGTTTCTTTGGACAAAAATACTCTAATTATTTTTTAATAAATAATTTTTTATTTAATAAATATACTTTTTATTTTTTATTAAATATAAAATTTCTAAATTCTTAAAATTTTAAAATTTTAAAATAATTCAAATGTTTAAAGAATAAAAAAAAAAAAAAAAAAATTCAAACTGGTTAACGCCGACCAAACTCGTTGGCTAGCAAATTTCCCACACACTTCAAGCATCACCGTCGACATGTGGACAATCATCAATCGATAACCTGCCTATATGGCCAAATTCTGATTGCCAAAACCATTTCCACGTTAACATGTAGGATGATCGTGATTGACAACCACTACGCATGACTTCATTGTGACGATTATCAAGTGTCAGGATCTACTCAGTTTGATAGATCGTTGGTCTCTGATTCCCATGCGCTGGCTAGGACGTCGACAGTGTGACGTAATATTGTCATACAACGATGGCAACATCGCCAACAACGGTATCGATCCCAATGATAAGGGATAAACAGTGAAATTTAATAATCAATATTTTAATAAAATAATTTTAATTTAAATATATTGATTTAGGGGTTAAAGGAATGCTGCTACACCCTTTTTTAAGGAATGAGATATTCTCATTCCTTATGCCACTTCTATAAATCAAACAAAGGATTGAGAATGAGATTCTTATTCCACCCTTAAATCCTATGATGGCGACAAGCAATAGTTTGGTATTTTTAAGCATAAAGTCTTTATTGAAAATGAAGGGGTCATTGTCTTTCTCCTCTAAACATATGTTACAGAATATTCCTTAAAATATTCTTATAAAATGATAAATCTCTATATTTAATGTACGTCATATGCCAAGTATCTATATTTATTGTGACCCAGTCTAACATATGTACAAGGGTTACTTTAATTCACTGAACCTTAGGTTGTTCACGTATTTACAAAATTATTTTAATAATTTGAAAAAGTATTTTAGTGATTAAAACATAATATAGACCTAAGATGGTGTTGCACTTGAAATTCAAATGGGGTATAACAAAAAACATTATTTTTAATAAGTTAGTTGAAACAAGTAACCACTCTCAAAAGTTTGGATGAAAATAGCTTAATAATAATATGGTCCTACCGATCTCTAAGCCACTTCATTCGTTATAATTTGTTTAATACGAATAGATTTAGTGTTAAATTATATTTGTAGTGGGTAACATAGATAACGAATTATTGGTATAAATCTTTATTTAGAACAATGACAAGTAAAACCATACCAAATCACATGCATTAGATTAGGTTAGACCACGCTAAGTTATATATTTTCACATTTGCTATATTGTACTAATCAAATCATTGTATAACGTAGAACGATAAAATCAATACTAAATTTAGTTATTTATGTCTATATTTTGATATATAACTAATTTCCTTAAACAAACAAACAAGTGTTTTAATATATATATATTTTTTTTTATTTTTGGTTCCTTTTGAAATGGTATTATTTATTAGGGGTGATTGGGTCTGAGTAGCCTGCATTTTTTTAAGGAACCAGAATCGGTCGATTTCAGTTCCTAGAAACTTGGAATCGAAACCTGAAACATAAGTTTCGGTTCCAGTTTTGGGTACTCGTATAAATTTAAATTACCCCAACTTTTTAAAAAATGACAAATACACCCCTAATAGTTTACAAAAAATTACAGTTTAGTGTCATTTCCTACCTAGGTACCAGGACCTCGGTTCTGGTTCTAGTTCTGATTCTTGGTTCCCAATTCCAGCACTATAGGAACTGAAACCAGACCCATGAATTCCCAGTTCCAATTTTTCAAAATCGAAACCGACAAGTGGGTATCCGTTGGTTCTGGTTCTATCTTTTACGTATGCTCACCCCTATTATTCATAACATTGCAAATACAAAAGGGTAACGTGATTATGAAAGTTAAAAAAAGTGATGAAACCAGAGGGTGATACTTACCATTTGGCCAAACCTTGGGTGGTAACATGTCATTTGCTGTTTCAGAAATTGGTCATGAAGTTGACCCCATGTCTCATTATGACAACTCATTAAATTTGGCTAAACCCATTAATATTCGTCTTTTAATCATTCTACCATTCAATCAATAAACTCTAAAAGTACAAACTTCCCACTATTTACTTTCACATTCACCATCATCACTCTAAAAAATCTCGTGATCCCTTCTGACTAATCACCCTATTCCTCCAATATCAAATTTTAAGTTACTAAATAAAAATATTTTAAGATTTAATTAACAGAAAATTGAGTTAGAAGGCAAAGGCGTAACATCAAATACTCATTTTTCATACCATCACACTTTTTCATTTTTTTAAGTGAAATTGTCAAATTTAGATAAGAATTTGACTATGGGAAAGCATTTCCATCTATTTCACGTCTCAAATATTTTTCTCTTGGAATTTGAAAATAAACACTTAATTGTTGGCCAAGGCAAAAGAAAAAGCCTAATAGAGAACTAAATTGTAGGCTTTATTGGATTAACAAGTTTGACTCACTTTGTTAATAACAACATGGCCAGCTCCAGCTTCTTCTTAATTAGGAGTTAAGAGCCCTTATTCTTGGGTCTCACGCCTCTACATACAGCTAAAACATATATTATTACTAAATTCTTATACAAATGGGATTCTCTGTTGTTGAGTGTATGTTAATATCAAATAGTCTCAACAATGGCCATTGGATTAAACATAGAGATTTGATAAGGCATGCAAAACAGAAGAACTTTGTGTCCCATCCTGTCAACATCTATAAGAGATTCACATCCGCAAGCTTAAAAAAGCTGCAATCACTGGTACTTTCTCTCTTCATATGAGCTTCATTTGAATATTTCTTTAGGTGCCTAGCATCCTGGATACTATTGATCAACTTTTTTTTTTTTTTTTAAGTTTTGTTTTTCGGGTTTCGAGTCTTGTTCTCTTTTTTTGTCATCTTCTTGAACTACACTTTGCTCCTTCAACTTTCTTTTCCCTTGGAAAGTCAGTCTTCGGCCGTTTGGCATGTTATATTATGGTTGTTCTGTTTTCATAAAAGGGTTATTTTAGTTACAAACTGGTTTATATTATTATTCTCGTCCAGTTTCTATGATATTCGGGTTTTTCTTATTAACATGTCAAATAATCTTCAAGGTTGGTTGAAGGTCATCTATGTCTCTTTTGCCTTCTGCTCCGCTCTCTTTCTTGGTGCTCTCAAAGGTTTTTCTTTTCCGTTTTTCCACTTCTCTCTCTCTCTTTTTTTTTTTTTTTTTTTTAACCTTTATTAAATTTTTTATAAAGGTTTACTTTATGGAATTCTGAAAGATGGAATTTTGAGATTTTGATTGTGTTGCAGGTTTAGTTGTGGGTCCTGTGGCTAGTTCGATATTGATAATTGGGAATGTTGGGGTAATTCTTTGGTTGTTCCCTTCACATGTTGCCTGGACATTCTATACTTTAGTAAAGTAAAAATTACCACTTTAATGTCACCCTTTTTTTCCTTTTAAAATTAAAGATGGTCTTTTTGTTTATGCCTTTTATGGAGCTTATTGGTTGGTTAATTGCAGGACTAATAGATTTGATACACCACTTAAAGTTGCTATCATTTTTGCTCTGCCTGGTTTATTTGGAATATGGTTGGGTCTAAGCATCGCTGGGAGTGTTCTTGTAGGAGTGGGCTATGGGTTCTTCACTCCTTGGGTTTCAACTTTTGAGGCCTTTAGACATGACAATGAATCCAAGAAATTCTTCCACTGTTTAGTGGTAAACTTTTGAATTACACTGTTTAATTTTGTGTCCTGTCTAGTTTCTTCAAAGCTATCTTATTGAACATCGAGATTTTTGACTTATTGTATGTGTTTTCTTGTATCAACCATGAACAATTAGGATGGGACATGGGGAACTGTTAAAGGAAGTTGCATTACAGTCACAGATTTTGCAGATATATGTTATCATTCATTTCCAGTTTACTTGAAGGAATTACGGGAGTGCCCTCACTCAAATGAACTTCAAACTCTAAGGTAATCTTGTTGTTTGTTAGAGGTATCACCTATAATTGTTTTGCATTTGTAGTTTCATTTAAATAACGAAATGTTCAATAATGTTCTATTTGATTGCACGGAAAACTGTTTCTCATCTAAGCATTTGAATCTAATAAAATTATGTTAGTCAGTTGAGGCAAGCTTTACATTTTCTGCTAATAAAAAACATCATTGAAGATAAGGTTGGAAATTTTTTAGGCTGTTTTCAGTTCTCTAGGCAACAAATGGAGAAAAGGGTAAAGTTATTTGGAATAGTTTAATCATGAATACAATACTTTTGACTATTCAATTTCTCATAGTCTTTAAATGGCTAATTATCTTTTGTAGGTTGGTTTATGTGCCTGGATGTATCATTGTTGGACTGATCGGACTAGTTGTGAATATTCCTTTGTACACTGTAATTGCTTTAGTCAAGAGTCCTTATATGTTGTTCAAGGGTTGGTTTCGGCTGCTACATGATCTTATCAGCCGTGAGGGACCATTTCTGGAAACAGCTTGCATCCCCATTGCTGGTTTGACAATCCTTTTGTGGCCAATTATTGTTGTTGGAAGCATCGTAGTAGCCATTGTCTCAAGCATCTTTATTGGATTGTATGGATCAGCAATAGTATACCAGGTTTGGTCATACCTTGGTCACATTATAGTTTTTTGCATTTACTACTTCTGAATTCACCCTTAAGGATTCTTGTGGATGCAGGAAAGATCTTTTCGGAAAGGTATAGCTTATGTAATTGCAATGGTTGCAGAATTTGATGAGTATACGAATGATTGGCTGTATCTAAGAGAGGGGACTATCCTTCCAAAGTAATTATTTTTCTAGTAACCCTTTACTACTGCTAGAGCTTTTGATTGTTCTTTACTTTCAGATTATAACTGTTTTAACAAATATCCCTCAGCCAGGCCCCATTATCGGGACAAAAAGACCTACCATTCATCTGAACTGTCTGTTGGACAAAATCATGTGGTTGATGGAAAATTCAATCATGTTTCTATGGAAGCACCTGCAATGCTTGTGCCAAGCTTAGCACATTCGAGATCAGTCAGGGAGGCAATACAAGAAGTGAAAATGGTGCAGGTATATTTTGTATTTTGATGCATATGTCCATCTCTCTTCATCTTGACATAATGAACCAATATTCTATGTAACTGTAAATATTATGAATCAGCACAAATACCTCATTTTATCTTTAATCTGAAATGCAACTTTAACTTATGTGTAACACTGTTGCCATTTCTCTGGAAGTCACATGTAAACTGTCTAACTGAATTGGCAACCTTTGGGAGAGTAAAGCAATAGATAGCATATCTCTCTTATCCTCTCTTAGTTTTTTGAGTATATGAACAATGAATGAAACAGTCAGAAAGGCATAGAAGACTTTTGATGTTGTGTTCACATATTTCCTAAATTGTGATGTCTGCCATTTGTATGATTTGAGAAGTCATATAAAGATTGTTACTGAACCAATGAAGATGTATGAAACAGATATGGGGAAACATGATGAGGTCCTGCGAAATGAGGGGGAGAGAATTATTGAATGCTAATGTTATAACACCACTCGACCTCTATGAGTCGTTGAAGGCAAAAAATGGAAATGAAGGAGCCATTATAAGTGTTGGTTTGCCTTGTTATACATTCTTGCAGACTCTCCTCTACTCCATCAAAGCTGGTTCAGGTGGTCTGTTGCTGCTTGATAATTTTGAAGTAACCTATCTGAATAGACCAAAGGACAAATTGTTAGACTGGTTCTTTAATCCTATAATGGTCCTGAAGGAACAAATTAATGTCATAAAATTGGGAGAGGATGAAGTGAGGTACTTGGAGAAAGTGGTTCTTTTTGGAAGCAATACACAGCGAATGCAGGCTTGGGATAATGGTAGTTTGGTACCTGAAGATGCTCTCAGAGCTGCTCAAATCCAAGGCATCAGTAGAAGGTAAGATTTCCATCCCAAAACAACCAATTAAAGATGCAAAATTCTCATTTTCACATTCATTTACTTCATAAGTTGCATGTGTTCAAGATAGAAACTTGGAAGTTTGCCACATTTTTGAGCAATTAAAGATAGCGTGCCCTTTTCCATCTCATTATAAGGATTAACACTTCAAGCAATTCCAGAATTTTATGACAGACTTAATAACCCTATGCCAAATGCAATTCTTGACTCATTAGAGCCACTCTTTTCTCATTTGTGGTTGATGAGAAGATGAACTGATTAAAGGGAGGATTTGCATATATTAAAAAAAACATGTAGGAGTTGGTTTCATTTTGAATTAATAATTTTACCAGCTTATTATTATTATTTTTTTTTCTAATCCTTAATACGATGTTGTTCATAATATAAAGTGACTACTATTGCTACATGAACAGGATGATCGGAATGGTTCGTAGTGTGTCGAAGTTTCCGACGTATAGAAGGACATTTCGACAGATTGTGAAGGCTTTGATCGCATACTCTTTAGAGGGGATGGATGCTAACTTATCCAATTCCAATAGATCAGTTGTCTCCATTGAAATTGTTTAGGAATAGGTATTTGGTGTAAATACTTGTAGTTTGTGTATCCCTCACTTAGATCATCAATGATACAGTAATTGTGTAGAGTTGGAAAACAATATTCTATATGCAATGAAATCATGCTATTCAATTTTCAAAAGCATAAAACCACACAAGGTTTAGAGAACCGTCAGTAGTTACGTGTTAATAATTCTCTCCGAGTTTTAACTTCAACAATCTCCCAATTGGGATTTCAGGTGTATGCTCGGCTTGGGCTATTGGGCCTGTTGATATATCGAGCTCAGGCCTAATTACTGTTCTTCATCAAACTATCAATCCCTCTTATAAAATGGACGCAAATTATGTATATAAATTGTAATCAAATATTCTCATTCAATGGGTATTTATGAAGCAGTTATATATATTTATCTGAGTAATTTATATTCATACATTTTATTAGTCCCAATTAAACTAAGACGTAACCACTTATACATTTTATTCTCCTTGAGGACTTTATACTCCATCTCCATGAGACTTCCTTGGGATGCTAGGTTATCTGATGTCATTGTTGATGACACTTGGGCATTTCCTACTAGGGACCCAACTCTTCAGCTGATTTGGGATTCGATCACTCATGTTCTGCGACTCGGGGTCAAAGATTACCATGTTTGGAAGGAACACTTTTCTAGCAAGTTCTCTGTTGACTCAGCTTGAAATTTGATCCAGGACAGGTAGGAGGTGAACTCTTTACAACATCTCTTGTGGTTCTCGAGACATATCCTAGACACTTTTTCATACTATATATGGTTAGCCTCTCTGGGTAGACAACACAATAGGAACTGCCTACAGGCCCATAGCTTCATAGCTTCCTTTGAGTGTGTTCTTTGCGGCTCTGCATAATAGACCCAAGAACACCATTTCTTTAGTCGCACCTTCTCTACATCAATTTAGGGAGAGATGTCTGCTAAACCCCTCATGGCTTGGCCTCCTTTCTCTTGGCCCTCTATACTCTAGTGGACGGTCCTTCACTTTCGACGTAAGGGCGACTTCAAACACCTCCTAGTATAGTTAGTCCTCTCCGTCACAATCTATTTTTTGTGGTAGGAAAGGAATAACCGAATGTTCAATCATGAGAGCAAGACTCAACGTATTGTCAGTGATGAGATTTTCACCTTAATCCGAGACCGAGCCTGCAACTTAGCCTCTAAGTGTGACATTCTTCCTCAGCTTAGAGCCATCTAACGCCTGTCAAATTGATTTTGCTTTGTTTGTTTTTTAGAGCCTGTGTGTTTCTTAGGGCGCTTGTGCCCCATTCTCTTTTGTATAGAGCCTGCATGCTCCCTTAGAGTGTCTGTGCCCTCTCTCTCTTTTTTATAAAGCTTGTTGCTTCTTTTGAGCGATTGTATCCATCTTTTTATCTTGGATGTCAAAAAAGATGACACGTTCGTCTTGGTTGGTTTTGATCTTTTTTTAAGGTATACCCTTTGTACATTATACATTTGTTATATCTTTTATACAAATTTGTCAACAAAATATATATATATATATATAACAAAACAGATCCATGTTGATTTAGTTTTTTTTAAGTGTGAATAGATAAATAATAATATTTGAAGTTAAAAATTACAACTCAACTTGCATCAAACAAAATATCATATATTAATAAGGAGAAAAATGTTAAGCACATGTTAAACAACGAAAACAATGATTAATTAGGCTTCATCCAATGAGCTGGCTGGAAGGGAAGAAGAAAAGCAAAAGATAAGATAAATTGAAAGGTCAACGTGTAGGACAAATAGGATGAAGGCAGCTGATACAGAGGCGGTGGTAACGACAGACGACAGTGACAAATTCTACAGTTTAAAGTTTTTGGTTTCAAAATCAACGAGAACCATCTTCATCACATGAAATGAAAGCACCTCATTCCATGATAGCTGTACTTCTTCTGATACATGTAAAGGTCAGGTGTATCGTTCAATTATAATATATAGAATAGGATGAATTTATAAATGCAAAACAACAGGGAGGAATGTGAATCCCCTACTATATAAGCTACAAATATAACCGATTTAATTAAAATAAAAGTTCTTTCTGGAAATTTAAAATTACTTTAAATCGTCAACATCAGAAAAATAAAATTGAAGCGAGCAAATAGCCTTTGTCTGGACTTATATTAAAGGATATGGGAGCTAAGTTATTGTATTTGGAAAGAAGATGATACAGAATTGGACTAGAGTTGAGAATTTTTCGTTTTATACAAGCATATAAATGAAACACCAAACTCTGGGTTGTACCTTTTTTCTGGTTCTTAAACTCCAAGCCATTGTCATCAAAATAGAGATATTTTCCCATGTTTGTTATTGATCCTCAACACGTGTCCCGTAACTTACACGGCAATGTGCCGCCTTCTTTAGGTACGCCAACAATTAGCGCATCAACGCCCACTCCCCCACCTTCCTAACTTCGTCTCGATCTCATTCCACCAATTCCATCCATACATCTTTTACACATGATTCATCATTGCACGGATCAAAATTCTAAATTCTAAACTAGTTAAAACATTAAAATGCTTAATTATTTACAGAATTCAAAAAACAAATAGAAAAACAACAACGTGATAGTATTTAATTTAAATAAAGAATTTATTTGAATAAAATTAACCAACAAGACAAAAGAAAAAGACAGACAGCAGCAGTATCAGAGTTAGCAGAGAAGGAGACACGAATTTTAGGGGGTGATAACTAGCAATTGAACGTCTTGTTCTTCCTCAAAGAGGTTTTGCAATTTCCTTTTTTTTTTTTTTTTTTTTCTCTTTCTCTTCAGAAGCTTCTCCGTGTATCCCGTATAAAGAACAAACAGAGAGAGCTTCTTTTTACTGCTAAACACAGCTTACTGTACATTAAAAACAAAAGCACCTTAAGATGAGCTAAACAAAACAATTAATTCGCAGTGGTACCTAAAACAATATATATCTGAATCCTCAACTGGAGAGAGAGAGAGATGGAGATGGAGATGGAGATGGAGATAAAGATAAAGCTAAAGCTAGCCATTAATATCTTTCTTCCTTTCCGTTGCCTCTTTCTTGTTTTTTTCTTCAAGGCTTTAACCGTACCCACTCGTAACGTCCCTCCGTTGGCGTCTCCTTCACAAAGTCGAAGTTATACCTGCACTTATAATTTTGAATTTTAATTCCTCTCCACACAAACAGGTAGTTAAGCTCAATTCAGCACATATCTGACGACAAATTTTCAGTTTAGTCATGACTGAGAAACGGTTTGAAAAGGAAAAGAAAAGAAAAAGAATCCAATTTCTGAAGTACCCCAAAACTGTTCTAAGTACACAAGGAAGTGACATTTTCTTATACTGTAAATTGGATGTATAGGATGACAATGTCCGTACATAGCACACAAAAAAGTTTTTGTTTACTCACTTCTCAGAATACTGTTTTAGGAGTTTTTTCTCAGCTTCGGCGAAGAATTCATCAATCTCAGATTCCGCCGGCATCTTCTCCACCGTTGACCTACGGTGAGAATTTGCCTCTGAAGAAGGCTTCGCCGTTGAATCCAGGTCTTCTGATAATGCTGCTTCAACCTCACTAGACGGCGTCGTCTCTCTCCTGAGATAGTATGTAGAGTATAGCTTCAGTGGTGCATAATTGATAGATGGCCTGTGTATTTATATACGACTTAAAGAGACAATAGATCGCTCTCTTTTGAATTCGAATTCGGAGAGACGTGCAGTTAAAAGACTCTGAAATTCTAATAATAAAAAAGAAAAAAGAAAAAAAAGAGAGAATATATATAAAACCTTTCTCTGCAGCTATAATACGCCGATGTTTCAACTTCAACACTCTCATCCTGCAACAAAATTAAATTCAATATTCAAAATTTAAAAAGAATATTTATATTGAAATAAATATCGGCTATCAAAGCCCGACAAAACCGTAAAATTTGAGAATTTAGATACAGAAACAGTTACACAAAGGAATTAAATAAAATCCATCTCAGAATTCAATTTCACCTCCAGATCTGCAAAATTTGTTCTCTCATTTACTTCTTCACTGGATCCGTTACTTGAGCAACACGAACTTGAAACATGATCATGATCCAAATTAGGACTCGAACACTGGCTTTCCGACGCCGTTTTGGAACTTATCGTAATTTTGCGGTTCGTGAGGTCAATACATGACGAGGAAAGTGTTAGGTCTTCGTTGTTTAGTTTTCTCTTTTTAGCTAAAGTGGAAGTAGCAGACGCCATGGCTTCAGCAGCAGGTGCTGTTATTACACCTACTTGAGCCACCTCCAAAACTGCAATTTCTGCCACTTCTGCTATACGTTTCCTCACCATCTTTGTTGTTTCAATATATATGTAGAGTTGTCCTTGTTCTTGTGAGTTATTTTTCCCTTATTTGTTTTGGTTTGTTCGTTTGAGAGAGAGAGGGCGTATGGGTGAATGGTTTAGGCATTTTAAGCAAGAGCATAGACATGAATGGTGGTCCAGGCTCCGTTAACAGTGACGGGGAATCTGTAACGGGAAGTTTGACGGCGCCGTTATGAAGATGGGTTCCGCCGAACTATAAGCTAATGAACGTGTAACACGTGGAGTTGGTTTCGTCAACTTTAGAGAGGTGCAGAGGAATGGTTGTTTTGAGAGGGTAAAAAGGAGAAAACAGTACGGGAAAAATTTTAAGAATGGAAAGAGGCGTTGTGCGTTTAGAATTGGATGGATGATCCCGTTAGGTGCGGCAAGAGGTCTTTAGGCCGCATTATCAAAACTAGAATTACTTATTCCTCCTTTCTGTTGTTGGTAAAATACCAAATTCTCACCAGTCCACCGTGTCCGGTATTTGTTACTACAATCTCTAAATTAACCCAACAATTAGTAGCATAAGCCTGCATGTATGGGCAAAAACAATAGGTCAACAGGATATTAATTTGCGGGTCCATTTTTTAAATATCTATAAGATAATATTATCAAATTTCGTTGAATTATCAAACGTGTATTTATATATATTTTTAAAATTGACTGGTTAAAAACTCAAAAGGTGGAATATATGTTCCTGTCGGGTGGTGTAAAATAATGCTGGGGACATGGCACACATGGTCATTTAATTTAGGGCCATAATGGCATTAAGATTAGGTAATGAATGTTATATATCTTACATCCTTAATTGCAGTGTATTTTATAAGCATGTCACATGCTACAATTACCCTGGGCCAATTATTCATCACCTATTAAGTTTTATTATTGTGTGTAATGTTTTCAATTCTTATGAATCTAAGAATTAAATGATATCATGAGTTGGATTAAGATTGAGAGATAAAACTTGATTAGTCTAAAGTAATAAAACCATACATTGAGCAAACACTAGAGATAGATTACTGTGATATGTGAAACTCTGATAAATTTCATAAAACTTAATGATTTCTTAGCTTTTAAATTCATTTTAGAGATATTTTGGGTTGTTGCTTAATGGTTAATTCGCTAATTGTTCGAGAAAAAGTTAGTAAAATATTAGGGAGTTTGACCACTAGAATAAACTTAATTAGGTTAGCAATAATTGTCAATGCATAGTATTAATTATGACTAAATTAGTGTGAAATCATTACCCTAAGTTTAATCTTATTGATCTTTTTACCAAAGTATTAATACAATTATGTTTTTGTTTACTTTTTAGTTTGTTTTATTTTTCAGTAATTCATTCTTAAAATTATGATTCATCAAATAGTAATAAAAGAGACTAATTTAGTACTTAGTAGGGAGTTCTTTTAGGATTCGATACTCGTTTACTCGAGCTTTACTACTTACACAATTTCGTATACTTATGAATAATCTCTCACTCCTCGTTACTCAATTATTCATCACCTCGCTCCATCAATAATATGCTTACACGAAAATATCTCTTTGTTTCTCGTTGTCCATCCTTTTGTCTGCACTCTATAACTAAGTTAATTTTCAACTTTGTTAAGTTTTATGGCGATAAATGATATATTAATTTGCTGGGTCTAGATTCAAAATCCATTACTGCTTATTTCCTAATATAATCGTGTGTAGAGGAAGATCGTAGAGTCTTGCCACAATATTTTCAGTAAAATCTTACTAACAATTCAGGTGTCTCATCAACTCTGGATATTGTACATTTATATTGAAGGGTCCCCATTTATTCCATGCGTTAATTTTCAAGTACCATGATCGGCTTCATTATTTAAAATATAATTATGTAATTAAATATTAATAAAAAGTGAGATAATTTACTTTTATATATATATATATATTATTGAGTTGTATGCACCTCAATAAATCTTTATAATTCTTAAAACTGTCAGTAAGGTAAGAACTTTAATAACACTCAAACTCAAAAGTTTATGAATATCTTTTTTTTTCTTTTACTACCAAATCATTCAATAGTGATTTATTAGGTGTATTGGATCCATCTATAGGATGTAAATGTGCCAAATTGATAAAGAAAAAAAGAAATGAAGGTAAAATAATTAATCAAAAAGAAGAAAAGTGAATAATCATATGATATTAATAAGGAAAATATTGGATTACTAGGCTAACTAACATAATCATGTGATATGACGTTCTAACTAATTGTAAGGACCAGTTAAAAGAATTAAAATATGTAACTTCTTCCCAAAGGAAAACGGGAACATAATCATTTCTCGCACGTGTATGCAACAACAAATATATATATATGCTCCCACTTATCTTATTACTAAGAGAACCCAATACCTCCAGGCTCAATTGCTAGTCACAAATTTCTAATTCATAATTATTCACCTAATATTCCGGCTTCCGTGCACCAATATATTGCCGTTACAAACTCCAAGAGATGCGTAAAAAGATTTTATTTAAGTTATTAACATTTGTGTTTATCCCGTCCAATTAAAAATAGTATCAAGAATTCTTATCTTTTTCCACTTTGTATTTATTCCGATTGATTTTAACTGTATATAAGATTCCTGAAGCTTAAAAAACAAAAAAAGGCGATGGAGTAAGACAAGAGAATTCAATCTAGTTATGGGAAGAGGCCAAGAATGGATTTAAAAGCATATAATACAGTTTTGGAAAGAAATGATAATTGAAAGAAAATTATCCAAGTACTCACGTGAGAAAGACATCCCAACTGTAAAGAAGATATGGAAATTATAAAATATATATAAATCACTTTAATAAGGGCTAAAATGATGACCAAATTAACAATTTAAACCACTACTAAGAGGTGTGATAGTAAAAAAGTAAAATAAGATTTCATGAGTTTTTGAATTTTAATCTCTTAGACACTAATAGGAATGATTATTTAGGTTATTATCCAATCAATAGTTTCAGAATCCTAAAAAAAATTAATTTAAGTATGTATAAATTAACCTGAATATCTTGGTGATAAAAAATAAAAAAATAAATAACAATCTAGTTGAACAAACAAGCAAATAAGTAATGATTGTTTGATATAAGGTTCAAATTAAAGGTTACCTAACGTTATTATTAGGACCCTTAAATCAAAGAAGAAAAACATAAAGCAAGATTCCTTTGGCGTTTGATAAGATGAACAGAAAGCGAGAGAAGAGACAAGGGCACATGGACCTTAGGTAAGGGTGGGCACAAACAACTAGAGATCTGATTTTTTATTTTTAAATATAAAATTATATAATATACGTGAAAAAAACATTCACCCACACACACACACACACACATATATATATATATGTCTTAAGGTTGAACTTAATCTCAAAGTGCTTTAGTTAATCTGTCTATACATAAATTATAATTGATTAAAAGATTAAGGCTGACTCACCAAATAAATATTCCCATTCCTAACCAACCCTACTCCTAAAATTTTCTTCCCTTTTCATTTTACTGTTAATCAATTAAATTGTTTATATTAGTTTTGCTGTGTTCATCACCTTCTTGTTAATGACAAAACGACTGAGCTCAAGCTACTAATTATAAATTAAGTTTTGTATAATGAGGTGTGGAAGAGAGTTGTTGATATAAAGGGTCCATACGTGCATGAAGCATGATGATCCTTAATTTGATGCAACGATCCATGTATAAAGAGTTAGTAGAAACTAATCATAAGGACGCTCCACTTTCCCAGAAGAGAGATTGATGATCAGGTGATGATGATGAGGTCAAAACTAATAAAAATGGTGGTGGATCCAAGGCTATTCCACAATTGATTACATTACTCATTACAAACAATATGGTTAGAATACGAAAGGGCAAAAACAACTTTAGGTTTTGCTCTCTCTTTATGGCGCTAAACAGTAGAAAAAAGCTATGTAATCACAAGACTTGGTAAAAGAAACGGAAAAGTGAAAGAAAAAGAAAAGAAAGGAGATGATGAATGAAGAATCTCAAGGCAGATGAAAAATTAAAATTGAAGTCCAAGACATGTTTTTTTCTTTCATACATGCATAGTGTAGTGCTTCAATGGTCCTCTTCCTCTCTATCAATTCCGAAAGCACTTCTTTTTTCCTTTCTAAAGTCGGTCTTATGAGGCCCTTCAACTTTAACTCGACATTTTAGGACCCTCCTTTGCCCTTTTCTCTCCTTTCAAAAAGCACTTCTTTTTGCTGCTTCTTTTTCATCTCACACCATAAAATTAAATTTAATGTTTGTGGTTAGTGGTTACTTTTCTCAAAAGCTATATATTATTACTATTATATTTATTCTTAACTTAATCAAAGTGTAGTTTTTCACCTTTAAGAAATTGCCACGTGTGTTTCATGTAGTGGTTTGCCCCATTTGGTTGGTGAATTGTGAGACACATTGTAAAATGTTAAAAATATGTGGTTTTGGAGGGATCGATTTGGACGAATAGAAGCTGATTTTTCTAATCATGCTTTAACTGATGGCAAGTTAGATGACCAGCTTTGAAAGGGAGTGGCGAGTTTTGGAAGAAACAACAAATATCTGCATTATCTGACTACTCAAGTTTTTACTTTTTTTTTTCATTTTTTATTAAAAACGTAATTAATGAGTACGTTAAATATTATTTTTAATAAATATTTATTTTTTATATATAATAATCTAAGCATAAAATTGACTTTTCAATAAAAATAAAAATTTTGTTTAATTAACAAAAAAAAAAAAAATCCCAAATAATATATATATAAAAACTATAAAGAACCGACTACTAATGAAAAGTGGGGCTTTGGAAATCGTGCTAGTGAGCACTTTATCCATCAAATTCAAAACCATATCCACATTTATGTACCGCAAAGAAATATTGTGCATATAAAAAATATCAAGACAACTGTTTCCAAATAGACCTCTCACCACCCTTTATGACTGCGAACCTTAAGAGACCCTACACTACACAAACGCATTACACGACCATTCCTTGGATGCCTTTCACATATATTTAACATGAGTGATGTTATGGGTACTAACGGATGGGT